CCATTGACGATATTGATTTCTAGCGAAGTCTCTCAAATCATTAAATCCCCATTGATCGTCAACTCTGAGTAGATGCCATTGTCCCAAACATGTAGGAGTATGGGATACCCTGTTGCATGCCGAACTGTAGCTTCACACGATCATTGTGGTGCATCTCCACAGTAGTGAACCTGATGAGTGCTGTTTTTGCAGTCCAGACTTCAGCATTTGCTGGGTTAATCTCATGGCCGAGATCCTTATACGGCCTCCATACAAACTGTAGAGAAAAAAGAGTGTTAATCTAATATTAATATTAAACATAATTAACCTATTGAAAGCGTTGTATAAAATTTGGGTAATATATTAATACATGTTGGTTATACTATTGTATTTCCAACGTGATCAATAAGATTTCATAGACTACTATTGTATTTCTAGGGGATTTATTGTAATTCATACTAGGAACAAACCACCTACATAGAAAAAATGGGTAATATATTAATACATGTTGGTTATAGTATATAGTATGTAAAATTTGTGTTTTCGTAATCTTTCTGTATTTTCGAAATCGTAAGGGACATACTCATGGACACGACAACAAAATATTTTAACATCCTATTAAAAACATGAATTACGTATAATAAATATAAGATTTAAGTATAAAAATCATAAGAACTACGGAAATCAAATTTGTCGACAATTAACAGGTATTGAAGAAAATAAACTTACAAAGGTTTCAATGTTGTTGACAGTTCTTCTATGTTGATCACCCATGGTCAAGAGAGCCATTTTTTCTTGGTTACTCTTGTGTTCTTATTGATGTTTCAAGAAATAAATAGTGTGTGAGTTATGATTGTGATGAACATATATGGTGAATGTCATATGTATTTATAAGAAAATATGGAGGAACACTATGCATTCACGTGAGTATGCTCTGCATGAGATTAACACATAGGCACCACACTAGGTGGCACATCCTTTTTTTTTGCACTAAGCCACCATTTAATATGGCTTATTACTTTTTGCATGCATGCAAAGCAACAACGTGGCAGTGATCAGATGACATGCATGCAAGCGTGTCATTCACGTGACAAGCTACCCTAGGTGGCGCATGCTTACAAAAATTAGAGGACAAGCCACCCTAGGTGGCGCATGTGTTGTATTGTTAAAAGAGAAGCCATATTGGATGGCACATTAGTGGTATACACCTTATACTTTCATTAGTCTATTTAAGCCTCTGTTTATGGTGCATTACTGGTATACATCCATGACTCACAAAAAACATACCTCAACAGATGGATCATTCACAATATTATAGTAATTATTTCTCATATTAATGGTGAGACGTTCAACTGTGATAACTTCGGTTTTAATTTTCGTAATACCGATTTTATCCACTTTTGAACAAATAAGAAATCAAATTTCGCACGCTTCAAAGATAGACTAGAAGAAAAATTGTAGTGTGGTCCAGTTTACCAAATTCTTTACAAGTCTCCGTTTTTATTTAACAACAATCAAGTCAGATTTTATCAACTAAAAGTGCACGACAATGATGATGTTCGAAACATGTTTCAAACTCATGAACAATCTGGGTTCAATCAGATTGAGTTGTATGTTTTATTAGAACAACCTAATCAATCTCAGGTGGTAGACCCTTCTCAATATTTTGAAGAAGAGGATGAATGTGACGAGGACAACCACCCAGAAGTCGATGTTATTGACCAAGAAGAAGAAGATGATGAGCCAATTATTGGTCTTATGGTCAATAATGCCGATGCAGATCAAAAACATGAACCTCTACCTACGAGTCATGCGTATGTCCCTCCATTTTACATGATGAACTTGAATTTAAGGGAAGACGGACCAGCCTCATATATCTTTCACAATCCTTATATGCAGATCGAAGGGGCCTTGAAAGTTGGAGACAAATTTCGTACAAAAAAAGAGTGTGTTAGAGCTATCAAAAAATACCACATGGAAATTTTAGCTGATTTCAGTATAGATCGAACTAATTCAGGGAGGTACATTATTTTATGTCGTCAAAAACCAATTTTCCCTTTTCGTTTAACTGCATGTTACAAGAAGAGAAGTGATTCATGGGAAATATGTACCATTCATGCACTTCACACTTGCATCACTACCGTTCCACCGCATAATCATCAGAAACTTAGTTCTCAACTAATATGTCAAGAAATGTTTCCTTTTATTAACAAGGATCCATCATTAAAGGTGAGTACAATTATTTCTCATATCATTACAAGATTAAATTATACTCCCTCTTACAGAAAGGCATGGACCGCGAGGACTAAGGCAGTTGAACTTGTCTACGGTAATTGTGAGGAATCGTACAAAGAACTTCCAAGATTTTTGGTGGCACTCAAATATTATGCTCTGGGAATTGTTATAATTTTGGAGACACTCCCGACATTTACCCTAGACAGAACCCGTGTCAGTAGAAATGAAATATTTCATCGTTTGTTCTGGGCGTATGAACCATGCATCATTGGTTTTGAATTTTTCAAACCTATTATACAAATTGATGGAACTTGGTTATACGAAAAGTATAAAGGAACATTACTCATGGTAGTGGCACAAGATGGCAACGATAATATTTTTCTGATTGCCTTCGCTCTATTTGAAGGTGAGATAGGTGGTGCATGGAATTTCTTTCTGAAGAATCTCTGATTACACGTTGCTCCTCAACCCAACCTTTGTTTGATTTTAGACAGACATCCATTGATTGTGAGTGAATACAATAGCCTTGATAACGGTTGGCAGAACCCCCCTTCAACATATGTCTATTGCATTAGACATATCACACAAAACTTCATGCTCCATATCAAAGACAAGACACTTTGAAAGAAAGTTGTTAATGCAGGATATGCCTTAACAAAACCATCATTCCAACATTATCGCAAAGAAATCTGGTTGACAAATACATAAGCATTAAGGTGGATCGATAACATTCTAGTGGTGAAGTGGACTTCGGAATTTGACAATGGTCAACGATGGGGCCACATGATGACAAATTTGGCGGAATCATTGAACTTTATCTTCAAAGGCATTCGAAACCTACCAATTACTGTTTTGGTTAAAGCAACATATTTTAGGTTGGGGTCATTGTTAGACACAAGAAGTTAAAAATGGAGGGCAGTGTTACAATCAGGGCAGATGTTCAGTGAATGCATAATGAAATCATTTAACGAGGAGGCTGCCAAAGAAAACACCCATACTGTCACTGTGTTTGACCGTATTAAAGGTTGGTCAAGTGTACAAAAGACAATGGATCATAATGAGGGAAGGTCAAGGGGATATTATCGGGTCAAACTAGATAGAAGTTGGTGTGATTGCAGAAAGTTTCAAGCATTTCGCATGCCTTGCTCTCATGTCATAGCGGCATGTTCACATGTTCGCTTGGACCCAATACGACATATATCCCTCGTTTACACAGTAAATAGCGTTTTAAGTGCGTACATCAGTACCTTCTCCGTGTTGGCAAAGGATGATTACTGGCCTGCTTATCAAGGGGACATTGTTTGGCACAATGAACAAATGCGATATAAGAAAAAGGGGTTCCCCAATAGCACCCGTATTAGAACTGAAATGGATACGACCAACAAAATGATAAGATTATGCAGTACATGTCGTCTTCCCAGACACAATCAAAAAAATTGTCTGAATATTGGGTCTAGCTCTGCAACCTAATTTTTTTATAGCAAACTTTTCGGAGTAATTAATTTGTTGTAAGCAATAAATTTAAACTTAAATCCGGGTTTTCATTTCGTGTTCAATTTATCATTCGATTACAACAATCTTCAGATAATGACCCAAAAAATTACAACACGAAAAACTCAAGACAATAACACAACAATATGATAAGCAAACAAAACAACTAAACACATCATAATATCTAAGAGATAAAAATCATCAACACAATATCGTCTGGTCCAAGCATCATCATCATGACATCAGCGTCGCATCCATTATAGGCTTACTCCATTTTCATTCCTCATTGTAATTTGTCTTTCAGTTTTTCTGATCTATTCACCTTCAGGAATGTCTCCTTCCAACCAGCGAATCAAGTGTCTCTGAAAATGCTCAAATGTCTGCGTGTTCCAGATTTTGATCTTCATCAAAGGCTTTGTCGCTGAAAAAATAATATGCGCATCTCTTTTGATCAGTGAAAAACTTGGCAAGGGAGTGAAAGACATTTTCTAAGAGTGATGTGAGAAATGGTGTGAAAAAATAAAGAAGATGTATGGTTGCATTTATAGAAAATCATATACAACTGTCAAGCCACACAAGGTGGCGCCTCCTCTATGACTATGCATGCATGTGCCACACTGCATAACATTACATAGAAGGACAAGCCATACAGTATGACGTCTCCTCTCTATTTTCTATGCATGCGCCACACAGAGTGGCGCCTCCTCTGTGGAAAATTTTTTTTGTTTGAAAAGTGATTACTTTGATAAATATTTTGAAAATATGATTATTTAGTTTTTTTTTTTTGAAAAAAATGATTATTTAAAATAAAATCCACTTTGACTCTCTCCTCCGTTTTTCTTTCTATTTTTCTCTTTCCTATCTATTTCTCTTGTAATCTCACTATATTTTCTTCAATATAAAATTATTTTTCTCTTTAAAGAGAGAATGTGATTAAGAAAAAGATAAAGAGAAAGGAGAGAAGTTGAAAAAAAAGAATGAAGGAGAGGATACAAATATTTATTAAAAAATCGTCATGTTTAGAAAAAATTAAATGTCCAAATATTTTGTAGATTATATAAGGTTGTTTCATTGCGACTTTGGATTCATCGGTTCAAACTTGTTAGAAATAACCTCTCTATTATATAAAACAGGGATAAGACTGCGTACATCCGACCTCAGAGAATCTATAAAATGGGAAACTCGTGTACTGAATAACCTTTTTTATATATAAACAAACATAATATCAATCAACTTTATTTGCTTACATAGGATATTCTAAACTATTATTTTAAAATTTTCCTATGGCTGATTTCTCAACCTTCCTTAAGTGCAAAATGATTTACAGTTAAAGAAGCTATTTTACTAAGTAAATAGATCCCATCGTTTAGAGCATGCATTGATGGATTGTATGACTTTTCACCACTAAGAACTTTCTCACATTTCATAACTTCTTCACCAGCAGCATGTATATCATCAATTGCACCTTTAGGATTGTAACCCAATTTATAAGTTGCACTTTTGAAATCTTCCAAAACATTAACGTAGAATACAACTGAACATCGTCTAATACCATTATCCTCGGGGAAACGAATAGCCACTTTGGCAAAATAAGATTGAACTGATGTTGCCTTATTGAATGCTATCTCTAAGATAAACTTTGAGAGATCAAGATAGTTTTTGGCTCCAACGATTCTTGAGTCACCTTTCAAAGTGTTGATGCAACTATTGGCATCTTGTCCAGCTTCATTGCATACAGATTCATACAAGTCGAGAGATAATGCTGGAACAATGGCATAAAATATGAGAGGTACAAAAATTATGAACAATGATGATGAGGTAGATTTCATTTTTTCTGGAGGATAATGATCAAAGTAGGAACTTTGGCTTGATTTTTTATTTCAATATATCAACCAACAATTAAGGTTATATATAGTTGGTTCAAATATTGTCTACAAGATATTTATTTAATATATAGTATTATTTAAACTAGTATTTTAATATTTTTTTGCTATTAAGCAATAAATAGTCAACCATAAAGGTGCAAAAAAAAAGAGGATCCTAATTCAAATGCAGAATATCTGATAGAATATTCTCAGGACAAAAATAGGTGATAAACTTAATTGGCAATTTCAATTTTTATATAAAATTATTATTTAACAACGTATAAATATATACATTTTTTAAAATAATTTTCATAAATTATTATACCAAAAAATGAGAATATAATATAATTTAAATGATGTCATTAATTATACATATGGATTTATTATTAATGTATTATCAACTAAATTATAAAAAATATGCAAGAGAATTTGGATGAGATGACAAGAATCTCTTTCCGTTTAATTAAAAAAGTTTTGGATTCACTACTACGGAAAATTCAATTAACAACGAAAAAATATATAGCAACGCGGGTCCAGGCGTTATTATGTAGAGGGTCGTTGAATATATGATACTTATACTCACGGGTCCGTAGGCGTTGTAATAAATTTAAAAGCGCACTCCTCATCACAACAGTTTTCCAAAAGGCCATTGTAATAAATGTAATGGTCCCGGGTTTGATTCTCAGATGCGCCGTTTTGATATTTATTATTTTTTGGACAGCGCGCGAGATATTATAACGATTATGACTATAACCGTTGTTAAATGTTCTGCATAATTAACAAATATTATCCTACTTTTATAATAAATTCCATTTTTTTAACCTGTATTGTTGTTCACCATATCACAGCAGAAAATAAAATTCACATTTGTGATAAAGTTATCTGAATAATATTAATTGTATCATATTCATAATATCACATAATTGTATCATATTCAATTGTACCATAACAAACATCCTACGATTTATCAGAACAAACAATCTACTGTTTACACATTACATAACATCACATAATTGTAATTTGGTGTTTTAGTGTCTGGTTTCTTGGTGTCTTGTCTCTTGGACTCTTGATTCTGAAGACCTATAATTTCAAATAATTATACTTGTTAGTAAAAATACTTGAAACTATAACATTTATGAATATATTGTGAATAAAGAATAAATTACGTACTTGCTAATTTTCTCAAATACCTTCTTCATGATCGATTCGAATAGCATAGACAACATCTCCATCAATTTTATCATATGAGGTAGGAATTTATGTTGTGTAAGAAGCTGCAGATGGAATATCAAGACTTTTATCACTAAGAGTAATGTGTTTTTATTGGAGTACGATTGACCATTTCCCTGATATGTCCGATGGATCAGTAACATAGAAAACTTGTTTTACTTGAGAAGCCATGATGAATGTGTAATACAGTGGGAGAACTGACTTTTACTAGTTTTGTGTTTTATCGCAATGTTGCGGTTAGCAAGTGTCACCATCGACTTTTGTTTTATCTAACAAAGGAAAATGTGAAAAGAACAGGAAAGATCTTTCGAGATTATTTTCCGAGTAAGGGGGTGTTTACAGTGATTTCTGGTAAACAACCGCTAGTCCTCCAAACTATCAAATAATCTTAATGACTGTTATTTAATCTCTCTGGTAACTTGCAGGATTGACTAGATTGATCCTATGGGGTATTGGTCGTTTGGATAAATCTACTTGTAAAACTGATATTCATAGTTAGGATTTGTATTTGGAATGTTTTATAGACGTTCAACTCACTTCGATTACCATATTAAAAGGATCTAATGGCATGATCAAATAAAGACATACGAAACTGAATTGCATGAATAAAGATTCGATTGCAAAGAAATGTTTAAATGTAAAGACTTTAATGTAAAAAGCATGAATATAAAAGCATGAAATGTAAAAGAGTTTCTGAAATGTAAAGGATTCGAATAGAAGAAAACATTTAAATGCAAGAAATAAGTAAATGACTTTGAATGTAAAGACTTTAATGTAAAAAACATGAATATAAAAGCATGAAATGTAAAAGAGTTTCTGAAATGTAAAGGATTCGAATAGAAGAAAACGTTTAAATGCAAGAAATAAGTAAATGACTTTGAATGTAAAGGTATTTGAATGACATTGACATGAAAATGGAAGGTAAACTGGAAAAGGTAAAGATTTTTACTGAATTATAAATGTTTGGTGTTATCATACGTACATTGTTCGAGCATTCGTTTCCCTAGCCATGTGGTATTTTGAATGTTTACTGAATTTTGTACAATAGATATGACACACGAAATCCTAATACTAAGACTTCTATTTATACTACTTCGACCATACCGGTCTTGCCTATAGGATTCTTCCACGTTCAGAACATGCAGAGCACTGCTCCTCTCTAGCTTCCACGCGTCTTCGAACGCTCCAGCGCATATATATTTGAATTCCAACATCCCGCTCGCGTTCGAATTTCAAATGCTTTGGCAATCTTCGCTTCGAATTCATTTCACAGACACAGTCTCGATACCACTTCGAGGCTTCTTTTAAATATATCTTCACAACTGTCACTTGAAGCTCCGAGCTTTGACATGTCTGTTCAAAGAACCGCTTCTACCATTCCGAAATGTAACATTTTGCTTTATTCCAACGAAACATCCATATTGCTTCATTTCGAACTGTATCATCAAAATCTTCAGCCAACAGGGGGTAGGTTATGGAAAGGGAAAGTGATAGCACACTTTCCATCCATAGTTATCTAAGGGGTCTTAGTTGCTAGCTCACTTTGAAAATGCTTTTTTTTTGTGTAAGTGTGTTTTGAAGATATTTTTAAAAGGCACCTTAGTGCGGTGAACTTTGTAATGTTTCTCATTTCGGAGAGAATGTATATAAAGTGTTTTTTTGTCTTTGAAAATATTTTGAAAAGAGTTTGTGTATGTGTGAAAAAATTATTTTTTTGATTGTGTATGAGCAAGCAACTAGGAGCTATCTACCTACTCGAAAGGTTTGTTCTTTTCCTCTTTTCCTTTAGACAGTGCTATCCTACTATTAGTGAATAGGTAGCCCTATCGTTGGATGTTTGAGGGACGGGCAAGGATCATCGTACAGTCATAAAGGCATCTCGTAGGGCACTTTAGCAATTTTATCGTAAGGGACTAGATCGTTTATCGAAGGCAGCACCAGAGGGTCATCGAGGGACTACGATCTTTTTAACTGAGGGTCTTTGTTAAAGTGTTCCACGTTCGAGGGACATGACTGTTTTTCAAAGGCAACAAGTGGAGGTACCTTAGAGGTGCGCGTGCGCGAGTGTGTTGTGTTTCAGTTATTTATCTTCAGATGTTAGTTTTGCTAGCGTTTACTTTTAGTCTTATCATACAATCCTATTAGCATTCATCATACAATCCTACGCTATTACAAGGCTTCGGGGAGGGAGAATTATAAACCAAAACGGGGAAATAAAAGTAAAGTCCTAATTTTAAAGTTATTACATCCTTTTGCAGTTATATAATTATGAAAGAATAAAAAATGCGAAAGTAAATAAGCAAGCGGGAGAAAGAAAGAAAGAAAAATGGAAGGATGGAGAAATAATAACCTAAAAAATTTCTAAGTGATAAAAGAAATTTATTTTTGTTGTTTTATGATTTTTAGAAGAAAAGACTTAAATTAAAGAAAGAAACCTAATTCTAATAAATTTTAATTGCAAAATAAACTCAAAAATGATTTAAATTAATTAATTTTTATTATAAAAATAAAGTTACCCAATTAAATCCTACATCTAATTTTATTTGATTTTATGATTTTTTTATTAAAAAGAAAATAGTTATTAAAGAAAAGAATAAAAAAAATATGACGGGGTGGTGCAAGGAAATGGTTGGATCCAGGCCCAAACCACAAAGTCCAAAAACCCGCAAAAAGAGAAAGTTAGAAAAGAAACACAAAATGCAAAAACTTGGGATCGAACCCGGGTCTTCTAAACTTGTACGCGTGCTTTTCAGCACCAGACCACCTGCTCATTCATTGTTTTAAATAACCAAATAATAATATATACAAAAATCAGTCAGAAGAAATTAAAACTAAAAAAAACGTGTGCGCTGTTGATTCGAATGGGCCAATGGTATTGCTTTATTGTTCCACGTAGACCTCCACCGGAGTCAACGAAAATCAAAGATGCCGGAGTCAAACTCCGTTCGTCTTCTCCGACTAGGCCAAGAACAAAACCTGCATTTTTGTGAGTTTTAAATCCAGATAAAAGGTCTATTCCACATAAAATTAACCCCTGAGTTCAAATACGGGCTTAGATTCAACAAATCACTACTGTATCATCCGGTTCGAACCTAAATCTAGATTGTGCCCTTAACATGGGAAATCTCTATTTCTGCATCCAACCTTCCATGTAATACGTTAGACTTGCTCATAATATTAAGAATAATAAGAATGCATGCATATAAATGATTTAAATTGCGTAACAAAAGAGATTCGAAACCATATTTTTACCATATCGGAGGGATGATATGGAGAGGTTCTGAGACGCGTGGGAGGTTGAGTAATGGTATGGATCACTTCCAAGAGGTCTTAGAAGGATGAGGGAGTAACTGGATTTGAGTGAGATAAGCTGGAATCTTGTTTTCGATTTTCATAACTTTTGACAATTTTGAGAGCTCTTTCAAGGTAATGATTTTTCATGTCCTTAGCTTGTGGTTAGCTTGTATATTTATAGAGGAATGGAATGGTGAATAATCATGGTAAGAATCCACACATTGATCATGGTTTTGAAAGAAAAATCACAAATTTGAAAAGTTGTCATGTTTTGGTGATTTCTTGCCCTTCTTGCCATACATTGAATCAATTCCTTTTCTAGATGCCTTGCACGAAATTATGGGCCTTATATTGACCCAAATCATCAGCCTATATGTCAAAACCTATTATCTATTATTTTATGGAATTTATTTTGTATTCATTTGAATAGAAACCAAAAT